ACTCTACATGGAAATTAAACCACTGGCTGTGATTAAGTTATATGAGGAAGGACTTGGAGAAAACTTGCAAGCACAGCAGAATGTACAAACTCCATGTGGACTGGAGCTGGCAGCTGAACTCGGAACTCAAAATACTGCAAGAGAAGTTAGTTAACTGCGATGTTTCCTTCTGTTCTATGTAATGGGCATTGGACATTTCCAGTTTGGAATTTTCATGTTTAATATAAGTAACCAAGATAGAGAACCAGAATTACAAAAATATAAAATACTACCTGAACCAAGCGCCTAGCTGGTGACTGAAATGGCGATGAAATTCAACATTCCTGCTATTGGTTGCTGTAAGAGCAGACAATGCTGCCAGGATGAATGTTGGTTTAGACTTCTACAAGCATACTAAATTATTTGACCCTATTTGGAATCCTTCTAATGTCTACGTAAGCATGTCACTGAAGCTTGCCTCGTGCATTCAGTGACCCACATATAGAGTACAGCTGCGCAGAAAAGAGTTCTACTCTTGGTTGCAATCACTGAAAGTGACGCTAAACCTAAAAATACATTCAAGTTCCCTAACCATTAATAAAAATGTATCTTATTTGAGTATCACTCAGCTGTAGATCCTCAAATCATCTCTGAATTGGTGCTGACACTGTCCTTCCTTCTGGAGGGTAGCTGCTTTTGTTCCCCATGGTCGTTGTGGTGTGTTGTAAAGTAGTCAACGCTCCAAGCTTGCTCCCATGATAGGCAATATTCTCAATACAAATTACTACACTAAACATGGCCTGTGGCTATAATCTCATGTTAGTTTACTAATTTGTATTGAGCTTGTAGTCCATCACTGGAGGGAGCTTGGAGCGGTGACTACTCTACAACACACACAGGGACCATGGGGAACAAAAGTAGCCACCCTCCATAAGGAAGGACGGTGTCAGTATGAATTCAGAGATGATTTGAGCCAAGTGATACACATAAGGTACAATAGTCATATTAGTTAGGCTGGGTTCACACCTAGGCGTATTGAATATGCGCGTTTGTTGCGCATTTTTACCGTGATTTGCGGTAACAAACGTGCGTTTCCGTGGGCTACTTGGCTGTATCCCAATGGAAACTCGAGACCAAAACGCCCCAAAGAAGTATATGTACTTCTTTGGGCGTAGGCCGTTTTGTATCGCATTCGGACTGGCGGAAATACGGCAAGGTGTGAACCAGACCCATTGAATACAATGGGATTTAGATGTTTGAGCGTTTGTCGA